GTGTGTGTGTGTGTGTGTGTGTGTGTGTTATTGGTGGAGGAGGTCTAAACTATATTAAGCTCCTGTAATATGAAAAACGTTTTTTTCCGTCCCTCTGTGTAGGAGGGGAAATGGAGAATATGTGGTCAATTTATGCTCGCATTGCCGAATATTCAGGTACTTGTGCAGGCACACACACACACACACACACACACACACACACACACACACACACACACACACACACACACACACACACACACACACACACACACACACACAGGCTTAAAAGGCATCAGAAAAACAGCATTTTGTTCCAATTATAGCTTCGACAGTCTTCTCAGAGTCGCAAAGTATGGTGCCATTGGTCTAATCCCTGGGCTGTCCAAAGGCAGTAATTGAAAATCAAGTCCTTGGCTATGTGTGCCAATAAGGCTTGAGCCTTCTGTCGCTATACCTGCACTCACACACACATATTCACTAATGTGCAATTTCATTTGGTGACAAAGCCCTGTCTCCCTGACGGCTGAGCTGATGTATGTGACACTTCAGACTCCCAGGCAATTTTTGTCCGTCTCTCAAGAGATGCGAGCGACGACGAGACACGGACTGGCGCTACAGCAGTCAAACGTCACTGCAGACTAAATCCCGTCCACAGTCACTTGAGATTGATGAATGCAAATAACAAGTGTGAACTTATTGACATTTACAGTATCCAGGAAATTGGTTTTGTTCAGCCGGATAATATCCACATGTCTACCCTACTTTTATAATTTTCGAATCATAAATCTATTGATTAGATTAGATTTATGATAGACTTTTGAAACTACAAGAACATAAGGAGGACTTTTACAAAAAAGTAATAGAGATTTTTGTCCAGAAGGATAGGCAAATGGACTTCATCTTCAAGTCAAGGTAAGACTGCAATTTTATTGAAAATGGGATCTTACTAAGAGAGAACAATTCAATATTTAAATGATAAAATTACATTTTTTGGGTATCCTTTTGTTGAACTGTCTGTTTAAAATTAATTGAAGCATCAGACAAAAAAAGCTTTTGAAAATAATATTATATTTTGATTTAGGTCAAAATATAATATTTGTAAACCTGAAGAGTCAGTGCCAGTGCCTCACCAGCCATGAACCTCACTGCAGAAGCTTATAGACATCTAAGTTTTTTGTGCCCCACCACTTTTGTACATATAAAAATGCCACTGAGTACACTGATGTCTGTGCACAACTAAAAACTAATAGTTGCAACATTTCCCCTCTTTAAATGTTATTTTCTGACCTTATAAAAAAAAAAGTTTAAAGTGGTTCGCTTTACTGCCTACAGGGCTTACACATTTGTGTGGAAAAGATCTGAAAGCATTGCTGGTACATTCAATTAGGAAATATTTATGTTTGATTCTTAATGATATGCACTAAAAATGATTACAATTTGTTTGGGTTAGAAGTCATTCAAACACAAAGAAGGATATATTTTGTTATCCTATATTGCAATGTTTCATCTCCCTATTAGACCGCTCTGCTATAAAACTCCAACAACTCTAAAATCCTAAAGAATCATTTGGGATTACTGCGGCAATGCTGCTTCACTATCAACATCATGGAGCATATTAATATGATATTTAATTACGTTTTACAGCTGACCCAGAGCAAAAGTATTGCAGGCTTACTCACTTTGGACACACTTAGTTTAAGAGCCTCTTCATAAGAAATAAATTAGAATATCCTTAAGTATGAAGCTTATAAAATAATCTAAATGGAGCTCCTAAAGGGACAGAGTAACATTTTCTTAATCTGAAGTCCAAAAAAACCAAAACTGAATGTATTATGCAATGCTTGGGAGGAAATGCGTTATGATCCCAGCTGCTCGCTGTCCTCCATCTTTGAGCAGCTGAAAATAAGATAAGGGTAAAGGAAGGAGTGTTTCCAAAAGATAAAACATTTTGTTTTGAAAGCACAAATCTTGGCCAGATAGCAAAGTATTTTATGTCTCTGATTTTGAGCCAGTAATCAACCAAATTAATTGTTCCTATTGTCTCCTTTATGGCAGGAAAAGCTGTGAATCTCAGTTACACTCTTGACAACAACAACACTCAATCTCCTCTGCCTTTCATTTCTTACCTCTTACACAACTTGTAAAACATCCGTCAAGTAGGATCACTAATGCCCTGCAACAGCTGAAAAAAGCCTCTGTCGCTGCTGTTAACTGTGCATTACCCCGGGCTTTCCTGTTCTCTGCGCAAAGCATCTCATCTCTACTCAAGTCAAAACTGCCACTGTATATTAGTTGAGCTGCAAAGCCCCACTAGCTCACTTTTTTCCACCAGAGTGACTGCAGCAAGGCGGCACAAGCGGATTTGACTAAAGTCCCTGTCACACTGTCCCGAAATTGACACCAGATGGACACACGATAAAGGAAATGTTCAAATTCGGCCCTGATCGTATCAACATCGGTCCATTCGTGAGGGCCTCTTAAGCCATCGTATGACCGCCGGTGGTAGGGGTGTAACGGTTCACAGAATTCACGGTTCGGTACGTAGGCCTACCTCGGTTTGGGGGTCACGGTTCGGTACGGGTTCGGTACAACAAGAAAAAGCATAATTCCAGGTTTGTTGTTATTTATTTTTTAACAGTAGTGCAAGTTTCAGTATAAAAATAAGGAACTCTAACATTTTGAATAATTAACTGTATTACACAGTTAAAAACAAACCACAAACAGTACCACACACTCAGATGGCCATGTTATCTATAGCATAATGGCTGATGTCAAACAAAAAGGTTCAATAAGCTGTAAAACTAAAATGAATGTCTTGAAAATATTACAAAATAAATAATAAGAAAGTGTTTCCAGGGCGCATTGCCGTTGAAATATATATGCCAATAGCTTCCGTTATTTCTTTTGATCTCTCGGCTTTCTTGTCTATTGGCTTCTTAAAAACAGCGGGGATCAGCTGTTGAACTGCTGTGGTCTTTTGCCGGGCTCCGGTGATTGGCAAATCTGGGTGATGCCTTCTGATATGATTTAGCATGTTTGGCGTGTGTTACCATTAGCATACCGCACCGCTGTCAAACAACGCCAACACACCGTCGTCGTCCGATCCACCACTCGCACTCCATCGTTATGCCATCGTATTATAGTACGATGACATCGAGATTGCATTTATTGCACAACAAAATCATGTAAACATATTATGTAAATAACCCAATTTGTGTTTTGTGAAACTGAAAAGGATATTACATTTTTTTTGTTACTTTCGTTGCAGTTGTATGTCTTAAATGTAATTTAGGTTAACTTCCTGTTTTATTTAGATGCTTTTATTTTGAAGGTGAGTTTACGCTGTTGACAGGAAGTTGTTGTTGCTATGGAAACAACATGACGGAGATAAGTAATATCTTCTAATCTACATATAAAGACAGAGAAAGTAAAGAATAAAGTGTATGTTTAAATGTTAGCACCCCCCGAAGAGGCACAAGCTCTTACGTTCTGGTGTCAATTTCGGGACAGTGTGACAGGGGCTTAACTGAAGTCAAAATGAAGTGCTGTCTCTTTATTTCACCCCAAAGCTGTCTGTAAATTAAAGTGGGAGAGTGAAGAAGAAACTGACATTTCTCATTCCAAACAACCAAAAGCATCAATATTATATCAATAATTTTTCAAATTATGGAAATAGGACACATCCATCTTTTTGTCAATGCTTCTGCTGTGCGCAAAATATATTTCTGTCATGGACTCTGTGCACTGGAAATCAAGTTTGACAATAAGGGCCAGAGTGATGCAACGCTGTAATCATGGGCATGACATCCTGTAAAGATCACTTCTGGAACTGACATATTGACACTTCCCTTTCATCACAGGCTCAGTGTGTTTGTTGCCAAAGAAAGAGAACGGAAAAAAAAGCTATAGAGAAATAAAATACCAAAAGGCACATTCGTACTTAAAAACAGCCTTGTGTATTGGTCACCCTTTCTTGTTGTCTTCTGGGTGTTTCCTCTGCTGAGTTAGTTCTGAAACTGGTATTGTGCAAAATGCATTGAGGCCGTGAGCAAATGGATCTCTCTGAATCTGTCCAGCAAAGTAGAGCAATCTGTCAAAGTGCGTTTTATTCCCAGACAATGTGTGCATTATTACGGTACCAAGGATGAGAGGTGCTGTGAACAGATCATTCACCAGGGATACTTTACAGTGTCACCGCAATCAAAACACTGCAAATGTGCAATAACCTGTCATATCACCTGCTTTGGGACTTGAACAGTGTCCCGGGGCCACTGCAGGATAATGTGCAGATGTCGCAGGTTCACATCCCTGTGCTGCAGGCCTGATTATTCTCAGGATGCGTAAACAAACTCATGTCTCAGAATTGTTGTGCTTGTTTAAGGGTGATTCTTTTTGATGATATAGGTGACACTGCGGTGCCTATAGATGCTGAAGGTGTATTAAGAGAAAGATCATTTTAAGACAACTTCTTTTGAATCATACAAATATTTTACTGGATAAAATGGACTATCAAACTTTTCTGGACCATCAACAAGTATTTGTGTTCGGACCCAATGGGAAAATCAAGCTTCCTTGAACCAAATATCCTGTTATGAGCTTCTGCTTCCAGTTACAGCCAATACATCACTGCTGTTTTCAAGAAGCAATACTTTAAGGCAAGAAAGGTTGAATGGGGGCTTTCTATTATTAACCAAATCAGCTACATGCACCTTGAGGGCATATGACCTTTGGAAGGAACCCATATGTCCAATCAATGAGAAATTGAAACACATATTTGATATCAAAGTGGGTGACTCATTTTAACACTCTGTTTCATATATTAAGATCAGGACATTGTGAACATAGATGTGCAAATGGTCTGTTTAAGAGGGAACATCTGGATTTCTGAGCGCTGCCCAAGGTGCTGATCTGTTTGAATGAGCCCCACCACATACACTGTCACTACATGAGCCTGCTGTGGATTCACAATTCACAAGCCGTGCGAACCCTCAGGTAAACGGGAACAGACAACATCTCACCTTCAACCTCGTCTTCGGGCAGGTTCGGCGGGGCTCTGTAGGCGAGGAGGTCAGGGATGGTGCAGATCCCCCGGTACATCAACGTGGAGGAGACTGGGTGCATCGGCATGACTGCGACCTTTAGGTGCCAGCTGCGCCCTCCTCATACAGAAATGTCTAAAGAGAGGATCCCAACTTCCCCCCACGGTCACCGAGGGAAGGGAGAAGCGAGTCCATGGATGGGGGAGAGGGGTGAGGTGGGAGACGGTGGATACCGCAGCGAAATCTTGCTTTTGGTCAATGACTGGAGAGCAGAAAAACAATGTCTTACCTCATTGCAGTTTGATTATTTGCTTTAAAATGTATTGACACAAAGTCACTAGATACAAAAAAAACTACCTCAGGCTGAGACTATGCGCTAACACATTCATCTCCTTTGACAATCTGAGCTAATAAGCGTACGTTTTTAGTCTATTACTTTTCAACCGATACACAGATTTATAGGATTTCAAGACATCGGCTGTTTGCGTTTTTAGTCTGCTGCTAGCAAATTCATGCATCCACTTGTTGGATACGTGCGCTAACTTGACGCACTCCGTCTTCAAGATCCAACCACCTTCATATAATCCACAGAAACGACGTGCTACACCTACAAAAAATTATTTGGAAATGCTCTAAAAAATATGAACGTGTCTTTTGTAAAATGACAAGATGACCGGTCAGCGCGATACATAAAAGACAATAAGTGCTCACTCGCTCGCTCTTATTTGGTCATGGATACGGGGGCGCGTTGCGATCCAGTTGTTCCATTTTCAGTGGAGGAGTGTTTTTGGTGAAAGGAAGCTCTCTATGTGGATCTGATATCCTCTGTTTCCCTCGCCCGCCACTCTGTCTCTCTCATACGTCTGCACACACACTCTGTATGTGTGTAGGCAATCCCTCCCGCATAACACACATCCACCCTCCCTCCTCTTCTGTCTCTCTTTTTGTTCAATTTCTCTCCCCGTGCACTTACTCACCGATGTTAGACCGCAAAGTAGGATTGCTGATCATATGGTGTATGGTTTCCCTCCCACTGAGCCGAGGCTATGATAAAAAATGAATCCAACGCCATTGGCTTGATTTGAGGTTCCATATGGCTGATGATCAGGCACTTATTTGAAGTTTTCTATGACGTAAACCCGCATCTGCAGCTGAGGTTATTTACAAGTATGTTATCGATCGTGAGACAGAAAGAAGAAGGTTGGAAATCATTAACCACTATCTGAGGAAACAAACTGTTGCACATTTCAATTTACATATTTGGCCAATCATTTGGCGGTAAGATGTAAATTAATGTTGAATGGATCATATCATAAGATGCCTTATTAGTAATCCCCTGAAATATATTTAAAATAAGTTGTCAGGCAGCTTTCAAAAATGTCTTTCTTTTATTTATTTTAAACAGGGTCCCTACAATGAAATATAACTATGGGACCTCCATCCATCCAATTGTCTTTCTTAAATGATTTCTTAAATACTGGATAACACAACATGTCACCAACATATGCAGTGATGTCCTGGCTATATCTTCACATCTATTCTATTTATGGAATTGTTTTGAGGAACTTTGTTATAATAAGATATACACTTTACATGGCTAATACTTCTATCTCTTTTGCTTCACTGTCATCGCTCTCATGACACATTTTTCATCTGCAGCAGGCACGGTTTTCAGAGAGTCTAAAAAAGGTTAAAGGGTTGGACACACAGCGAAGAAATCAACAGATTTATATATAAAAACATCCATGAAATGTTAGGACCTTACTCCTAAAATATGCCAGTAAACTCATGCCCCGGAAAGATTATTTATAAACTTCAATGTCAGAATTGGTTATAAAGTCCTTGTAATAAACCCTAAAATACACGGCCACTGAGTATTATTATTCTAACCATATGAAAAAACGTATTGTGCTGGCTGGCATTTTCTACTGCTCCACAGACCATTGGTCTATGTAACAGTGTCAGCAGTGTCAAACCACCGCTGGCTAGACGCAAAAAGGGCACGACCAACTTTGTATCCTCGGGTGACATGGGCCACCTTTTATCCATGAGAGCGTCCACCTAAAGCCCTCTCAACAGGATGGAACTTTGAAGGTCAGACCACTTTCACAACTCAGTACCTGCAGTATTCAGACTCCGATATGTCACAGGATCTTTTGTCACTGGAAATGTTTAATGATTGCCCCCTGCCAGGCTAAGGTCTCTCAGGTTCTGGTTATACACTCTCCGTTGTGTGTGAGAGAGGTGAGCTGTTGTTAAGGCTGGTATTAGATAGAAACTGATCTTTATGGCCACGCTTTCCCACTCTGATGTTTGGTCACTAAATGCTGCTGTGGCTGCAGATGAGAGGATGATTAAGAAAACCAAGCAATATCCACCTGAATAAAATATATTTACACATTGTAATTTGAATTGGTAATGATGTAAGTAGAATATAAAATGCACATTTGTGTTATGTTATACTTACCATCAAGTACACCTAGAAACAAATGTCCACATTAACTCAGCAGGTGCCAGTCTGAATCTGGACCTGAACATGTTGATTTTAAAAACCCAAAGTGCAAAAATGGAAATCACTCCAAAGACTTTTGAAGCCAAATGATTACACAGTTGAGTTTAATCTTTCGCTCATTAAGTCCCAGATTTCCTTCATTCACCATGCACCCCCCTGCAGCACTCTGGCGGAAAAGTCTTACTGCTTTCATCTGCTCATAAGTTTCTCTCTCCAAGACTGGAAGGGGTCAATTCAACCCTAAAACTCATTGTGGATTCAAGTGCAGAACTACTTGTGCTGCAAAATGGGTCATTTTGAATGTGATGACAAATAAAGGACCCATTTTGTTGTTTGAGCAAAGCAGAATAATCAATGCTGGCTGCCTGACTTGAAAACTTGTAGTCGATTCTGTGTTTTTGTCAGGAGTGTTTGATCTTATTCTCTGCTTTCCCTTACATCAAAATGTAATGGTTTTGAGGGAAGTGCAGCTAACTGTTAACAGAACAACATACATTCTTCTGACTTTAAAATGTTGTTTATCTAGACATCAGACAGACACAAAGTCATTAGCATTAATTTAAAGTGATGATGTGTCTGGTTAATCTTCACTCTCATTTTGACTTTGTTTTGGTCTCCTCAATCTTCCAAGGGATGTTTTGTTGAAGAGCCTTCTAAAATGCTCTAGTTGCTGTCAGTTGTTTGGTGATCCAGCAGGCCTTTTTGTAAAAAAAAACAACAACTGGTGATATCAGTGACAGTTAATCAAAACAGTACATTTGCCGGAAGCAAAACCAAAACAATGAGCTGATAAATGATAACACTCTCCTTAGAGCTGAGAGGAAGTGCAGCACTGGGCAATAGTTTTCTGTGGCTTCGACAAGTAGAAGAATGGAGAAAATAAAACACACAAAGTATAAAAAGCCCCAATTTAAGGCGGCAAGTGGTTATGAACTGTTACGGCCTAGAGATGTTGGACCCCAAAGCAAAAGACTTAGAGAGAGAGATGGTCAAAAACAAAAGGTGTATTTTAAGCAGAGGCACAGTAAACGGCAGTGGAGGCAGGAAGCTGGCTGGCACGGAGACGTCAGGGACATGAGGCAAAAAACCAGGCGAAGAGATCACAGGGACGAGGAGAGCAGCGAGACACACCGTGAATGTGTTTAAGGTTTAATACCTAGTAGGAATTATCCATATTTATATCTTGAATGTTTAATTTGCTGCAATGAATTTGGAATGTTATGATTCACACATTTCATCCACTTCAAGCAGCCTAAGGTAAATCATTTTACATTCAGGTAAGGTCGGAGTCTGGTGGATTTGAGAATGAAAAAAGTCTTACATTTCTAGTTGTATTACTTAAAACACAATTGTATTGTAAGTCTAAATTAAATGAAAGGGATATGACGGGGTTGGGCCTTTGCGCTCCTTTGATTTCTTATGAGGACTTGACATGACAGACTTTGAAACCCTTATTCTCCGCTCAACTAACAGCAATCATACAAATCTGAAATTCTCACCCTCTTGCTTTATTTCTTGCCAAGTCTCATGCTCACATGCTCAGATAAGCAAAGAGAAAAAAGCTTGACGAGATTGTAACAAGGACAAAGCACACCAAAGGTTCGCTCATAGATTAAAAAAAAAAGAGGAGAAAATATTCCAATTTCAGGTCAGGCTATGCCAGAACTTTTTTGGATGCGTCCAAATTGACTGGATGGCAACACATTAATAAACCAATCCGTAATTGAAAAATATGAGTACATTTTTCTTTGTCATTTCTGTGAAATGAAAGCTATAGAGTTCCATAAGATGAGATATTGATGTGCTGCTGCCCCTGTGCTCAGATCCGTCTGCCTCTGCGGAACAAATCAGCCTTTTCAATTCTGACTACATCCATGGCTATTGACCAACACAGAGAGAATAATGACCCATTGAGCTGCTCCAGGATTATAAGCATGGAGCCAGAGAGAGCCGGAGACTGACGGGGTTTGATGGAGGAAAAGGCTTTCCCTCTCGGTTTGGGAAAAACAAAAAAGACAAATGTGGTCATTTCACAAAGCCCTGAACAGACTCATGTCATTAAAAGTCGTCATTACAACTAGGTAATGTTGTTAGGTGATGCATTTCCAAAATGTCTGCATGACAAGAAGAATGCTGGGGGACTCTGAAATGCTGACAAAGTCTGCCATTACTGACTAGACTGTACCTTGGATCACTTCACCATCCCGCAATCTCATTACACACCCAGACAGCCTCTGTTGGAACTTGGGAGGACTGGCATCATCCCTCTTTTCAGATAATGCCTCTCTGCGTGACTAAACAAGGCTGGACTGGTTCTGCCATTTTTCAAAGTTTCCAGCTGCGGAAAAAGGACTTTGAGGGAATAATGCATGTGCCAGTGGGTGCTGCGCTGCCTCTGCCTCTGAATGAAGCTGCAGGATCAACATAAGCTGCTGCAGACCCAGACATGTTCTCCCTAGGTGTTTTGGTTTGTGTTTATAACCGTAACATATTTTTAGTTAGAACAGGCAAAAAAGCCTAATTCAAAATGCCTTGTAATTATGTCTAGCAAAGGGTTCTCTTATTGAGCATTACATCAATCACAGTCGCAATGAATGGTTGGCCTTATCTCACCACACCTTCCAAAGTAATTTCATTTGTATTGATTTATTAATTTAAGAAAATACATTTTGAGACATTAAGAAAAATACATTTAATTTCCATGCAATAATAAAATAAATATAATTTCTATTTTATTCATTATTTGTTGTTTCATGAATTTCTCTGCAATCTTGCTACTTTTTGTTTATGGATAGCATATTTTCTATTTCAGATATCCAGAAATTGTCTTGAAAAGGTCATTTACTTGCTGCAGCGGAGTTGGGTGGCAAATGTCCAAGCTAACTGCTATGTGAGCAGTTTTGGATGCAAAATGAAGACTTTGCATAAATTATCGGGCCACAACTCATTAAAATCAGTAACGCTGTGCTGTTGGCCAGTGTTGGGTTATCCCCCGGTCATTTTATGAAACTTAATGTTCCATTAGGAGTGCATCAATCAGGTTTTATATTATTTGAATCCGATTAGTTCTTACAGAGCCACAGTACTGAAACCCCTCCCTGATAAATGATATTGAACACAGGACACAGGAGAGAGATCATCCTTTAAGAAACTGTCACACATTTGCCCCCTCTTTTCTCACAAACTCCTGCGAATGTCAGACTGACCGTGTTATCAACACCCCTCCCCCCCCCCCGGGTTTGAGGGATATCTGATGAACACAAGCACCTCGCCTGCTCTCCCTCCAGAATGTTAATGCCATCTCGCTAACATCAAAGTTGTGGAAACTACTGTCGGGTAAAACGCGTGCCAT